ACGCGTTGATAACAAATGTTTCTACGCCGTCGCATAAAGTCTTTAGTGCGTGTGCGCGTGTGTGCGTTACGCCAACCTATCATCTTCCAAGCTTCAACATATGACGTGTAATAATAAAGATGTGTAATAATAAAGATAACCCGTCCTTGTAACGAGAGATTATCATTGTGCGCGACGCGCTACTGGCTCTCCTAGGATAGCCCGATGATGACAGAAGACAATTATCTTTTAAACGCGCGCGATCAGTTAGGCTAACGGTAAAAGATGCATGCTATTATTGGCCAACGAGTGGAAAATAACTATCGGTTATAACTTTCAGCCCGCTCCAGTTTTAAAGTGATTATTAAAGGCCTCCTTATTAAACGCCGCCCGTAATCGAGATGCGACGGATTAAAGCAGCGTGATAAAGGCATGACGACGCGTATATCAAATTATTGCGTTCCCGTGTTAATTTTCGAAATCACGTCACGTTGCAATCGTTCTTTGCAATCGTTCCCTCGGATTAATATTACTCGCTTCTCGTATCGTAATATTTCTCGCTGGCGGAGTCTTGTTAGGCTGATTCGCTATTATTTATCGTAGTCAGTCGTGCGGTGTCTTTCGTCGCAAGTCAGACACGATGGACTGGTTGGACAAAAGACGACTTGAATGTGGTGGGACTCGCACTCTAAATTGTGAGTTACGCTAGAAAGGAAGGAATGAATAGGCTCACAATGTAATATTGACAATCAAGTAAACGAGGCTCTATTCAGAAAAAGATTCGTTCTGCGGTACCACCACGAACTTTATCGACCAAGAGATCGCGTGCGGTACGTAACTTTTCAGTTGCAGCAACGATGCAGCAAGTAGCATCTTGCGATGAAGACCAATTCCTGCAGTGTTCTCAAGATCCCCCCCTCCCACCCCCACCTACCCCCGCGGAATTCTTGATTTCTCGGAATGGAATTCTACTCTCTCTGGAAACTCTCTGGAAGAAATCTTGATCGAACACGTCACAATTTTGGATAGTCGACTTGAGTGCCTCCCCTCGGCTTATTTGCATTTCTTGATTGCCAACACGCTTCACGTTAACGACGCTTTCGAAAGTCCGCGGCCGCGGATTCTCTTTTTACTGCCGGCATAAATGACTTCATTCGCGTGACTCATCGTAGTACAGAGTATACCATAAACTGTACTGTAGTCGAACCGACGGGACGGTCACGGTGGAGATCCGCACGACGTGGAACAGGCGACTTCGCGAAGCGCGACTGATCGGCAGTGTCGCTTTCCAAGAGACTCGGACGCTCGTTTCGTATCCATTAGATGCTACTTGTTAGGTCTGACAGTTTTAAGCCTTCGATTGCACAAGCACCACTTTACGAGCGCTTTTTTTACGCTGTACGCCACTCGAGGGGCAGCGCGACAGGCTCGACCAGTCTGTAAAATTCAACAGGTTATTCGTCAATAACCAGTGTAAACAGACGATGCAGCCGCACGTTACACACGTTTAATAAAAATTAACATTTCTTGGTGTGCATATATTTATTACGTAATATCGTGTTTTTATTGACATTCTAGAACGATCTAGACGAAATTCGATTTGATTGGCACGTCATCGAAAGGACGGTTTTTTTTTTTTTTTTTTTTCCCCCAACGAAATGGGGTGTCTCCTAATCGATCGAATTACATCGTTCACGAGAAACATTTATTCATCAGAATATAATAGCGCGCGTTAGTTTACAATGAGTAATAACGTAAATAGCGCAATTTTACAACTCGACTCGAGCCCTTCACAGTGTATGTAGCATATGTGCAAAGAAAAAAGACGTGTCATCAGTACATATACATGCAATATATACATATTTAAAAAAAACGGTTTATTAACTTTTGCGATTTGTATAAAATTTAATATCCCATGATTTTTGTCGCTAAATTTCGACAAGTTCTCGTCTTCGTGAACTCTGGGGCGGGAGAGCGGAATTTATAAATGATTGCTTTATAGTGATATAATATTTTTGATCAAGTTTAAATGAATTATTATTTTCAAATGATTCTTTTCGGCAAAGTTTGATCTAGAATAACAAAATTTGTATATATTTTGTATATATTTCAGCGATTTCAACAATTTATTCATTTTTATAACAATCCGATTATTTTTTCAAATTTTTATCTGCCATTTTGAATTTTGAAATTCAGATATTATATTTGGATTTAGCGGTCTCAAAAGCCTTATGAATAATCATTTTTATAAAAAACCAATTATCTTTTCAAATTTTGATCCGCCGTATTGAATCCGCCATTTTGAATTTTGATATTATATTCGGATTCTGTGACTTTCAAAATTTCAATCATACTCGAAAATCGAATCGAGAAGGAAAATCTTCCTTCTCGCACAGTGGTGGCACGTGAAAATCTCATTTTCATCACGCTGCGAATGGGTTAATGCGAAAAAAAGAGGATTCGTAATGTACGTACTTAAATAATATTTTTCCCCTCGTGGATTGAGTGGACTTCGTTACTTTTACCTCGCGTCTTTTTTCTCGGAGAAATAATGATGTCGGAACGTGTATTTTATCGCGTCTTATCGCGGCAGCACTCCTCGCAATTACGTGGTCATTGGCAGCAGGTAATTACGTCAGCAGAGACAGAAAGGCTTCGAACGTGAACGTCTAAAAGGCGAGGCGGTTTCTAGTGTGAGAAATTCGTATTTCTGAATAAGAGGCTTACGTAACACGCAACGCAGCAACGCGGTAAGGCACAAACGGCGGCGGGCGCCGTTATTTTACACAAATTTGTTTCGCGAATTCGTCTACCACGGGAGAAAGTGTTGCCGCCGCTGACCGTTTCATTAGCATTGTACATGTGTGTGTGTGTGTGTGTGTGTGTGTGTGTGTGTGTGTGTGTGTGTGTGTGTGTGTGTGTGTGTGTGTGTGTGTGTGTGTGTGTGTGTGTGTGTGTGTGTGTGTGTGTGTGTGTGTGTGTGTGTGTGTGTGTGTGAGACGACACGCCGTCGACGGTGGAGAGACTACATATCACCAGGTGTTCCCACCTTATTCTCGCCGAGGGGCGAAGATCAAATCGTACGTATACATCGTACATCGCGAGCCTGTCCTCGATTTCCATTTATCGAGGGGAATGAGCGTGCGTTTCTGACGCCGAGAACGCTGTAGATGTCTGCGTGATTCTTGATCGACTCGGTGTAAGACGGATCGGCACTCGATCCTGCCTTAAGGATTAAGGCCAAACTCGCGCGGCGAGATAGGTCTTCCGTGAAGGCTAATATCGACGACGGCGACGACCGCCGATCGCGATCTCCGGAGGGTTGCGAAATACCGAGAGCCGACAGATCGCGAAATCGATCGATCGACATTTGAATTTCCATTCGGTTGCGCGGCGATACGAAACGCCGTCGCGGCCTTTGCTCGACTTTCACCTCGGCTCCCAGAGGGGCGGGCGATTTTTCTTTGCGGACCAACGACCGGCTCGCTACCGGCCGTCGCACGACAAACTCGTGCTTGAGGAAATGTCATGGCTGCGTAAATCTTGACCGACTTCATATCTCGCACGGTCGCGCGTTACGTCAGTACGAAATGTGCATCTAATAAAGATATCGAAATTACGATTACGCAAAAATCGCTTCTTCCCGATTGTCCCGAGACGATGAAGTTAAATTGTTACACGCGGCAAAATCCCGCATCCTAAAGTTTTCGCTATGTTTTTTACTTTAGACCTACTGTTTTTACTTTAGACCTTACTTTGAAAAATGTATTGCATCTATTTTTATTTATGAAAAAAAGTTGTAAATTATTTAAGATCACATTTAAAAATAATATAAAAAATTCTTTGGCGGTTTAGAACCTGGATTAAAAATTATTAATGTAAAGTAGAAATGTGTGCTTTAATAGAAATGTAATTAAGATATAATGACAAAAATTAAAATTTTTTATATAAATACTTCAAGTATTCAAGATGATACAAAGTGAGTGATGGTGAAAGTGAGTGATGGTACAAATCAAATTAAATTTTTGTTTACGGAACAACTAATTTTTGTATTGCATCATGAAACATTTACATTTACATTTACATAAATAATCTTAATTACTTAACTACTTAAGATATGAAAAAAATATATGAAAAAAATTAAGATTTTTATTATTTTGTAATTACGTTAATTGGATCTCCAATTAATATAATTTTTATAATATTAATATAAATATAATAATATATAATATTTTTTAATATTAATAATTTTTTTATATTTAAATAATTTTTGATCCAGATTCTAACCTATTTTGTATTATTTTTAAAAGCGATTTAGAACAATCTGTAATCTTTCCAATTTTTTCACTGTAATTAATTTTTTTATTGTAAAATATAAAGATTATAAAAATAGATATAATACATCTTTAAATAAATGATCTTCATCATTGTGTTTGCAATATCATTTCACAAATCCGACATATACCGAGGATTTCTTTCATTTCTTTTTCTTCTTTTCTATTTTCCAAAAATTCCAATCATATCTCTGTTGTTTTTCTCTGAAATAAGGAAACGATCGTGGGAAAAAGATCTCAAGTTTAGCACTTCATTGAAACAATGTTATCGTTATAATTTCGAACTTTAAGATAACTCGAAGAGCGAGCCAAAATATATCGAATGTTACAATATTATACTAACATTAGTGCGGTAGATATTCTAAGAAAATATTATTATTAAAAACAAAGACAAAATTATCAAAATTGTCAACAAAACGTATGAAGAATACTAATTAGATGTTTCCTTATCTGCTTACAGACTCGGCGATACATCGATGAGAAGTAGCGAAGCGTTACATCCTAAACCAACTATGTACGTCTTAGAAACAATGTCCGCTTCCGCCGGAAATCCGAAGGAAGGATCATCGCCCGATTCCGAGACGAGTTTACCCCTCGCAACTCTCGCCGTAGAAGATACGATTTACAGGGGAGAAGGAAACGCGAATATCGTTATCGCCCTGCCACACGTAAGTCGTTAATCATTATCATCATATATTTTTATTTTTACAATTTTACACGTCGCGTCCAAAAACCCCGTATATTTCCGCGTTGCTCGAAAAACATTTTACGAACGCGTTTGATCCCGCTGATTGCGATCTCTGAATATTGAAAGGAATCTCGAGAATCAGGAGGCTCCCTTTCTCTTCGCTCATCGCTCTTTTACGCTTCGCGAACTCCTCGTTGAGGAGCCCTTGAGATTCATTTTTCCTCGAAGATCTCTACAATTCCGCGACCGAGGTAAGACAAAGCCCGGATAAACTCGGATTTTCACCTTGCTCTCGCGGATCCCGTCATATCGCGACGTATCCGGTCTTCTCTTGATTCCATTACCAAACTTACTGTCGCCCGTGATTTTGTTGGTGGAATCTCTTTTTTAGCGTCCGCCTCACGAGTCAGCGCCTCTCGTTCGTTTTGACGAGAGCGAGAGGTTTCACCTTGCGATCGTCGTCTTCCAAAACGAATAAATGAATTTTCCAAATCGGTGCAGCATTTTATCTTTATACACTTTTACGCGCAAAAATACTATGTACGTCTAATAAATGGATTAAGTTCTCTCTAGCTGAAGCTTTACAAACGCATAAGTATAGTAAAGAGAAAAATGGAGAAGCCCGTCTTGTAATGCTTAATACCAGTGTGACTGCTGTTTATACCGAATAGCGAATTGCGTAAACGCAACTAAGGATTAAGATGCGAATGCGCAAAAACACGCGAACAGCCGGCGGTGGAAGGAAAATATACTTGATCAAAGATGGATGAAAGATGGGAGGAGGGCGTTTCGAGTCTCTTCCATGATAATCGATCGTACGAGTCTCTCGTCGTCTCTCGTCAACAGATAAGAATACACGTAATTTCTTCGCGTGATTTTCGCGCAAAAGTCCGAGGGAGTTATCGTGTCGCGCGATAATAATTTTGCAAGAGCGGCCTCGGGGAAAAAACACATTTGTTGTCAATGACGCAATTATTATTATTTTTTTTTTTTTTTTTAAAGATTGAGATTCTCGCGTTCGCGTCGTTGCGTCATCACTCCGCATTCTCGTGAGCATTTCTCCCGAGGAAAAATCGATCTCGATATACGACAAAAGGAAGGAACGATGAGAGGCGCAACAAAACACGAAGCGTCCTAAATTTTACACGCACGATACTTCCCCGACGTATCTCTATAATTAAAACTCTGAATAATTAACTCTGCGACTAATCGATAATTATGCGTTTTGAATTAATACGAGACAATTATGCGTCCTCAGGTGACAGGAAAAGAACTCACGACGTGGGCGCAGCCGCATATTCTTTCTTGGAGACTGCGAGACAAATGACCCATAAGCATAAATAATTTCGTTTAATTGTTAATTGCGATGTTCGCGCGTCGATCGCACCTCCTTATCTCCGCCGTTTATTTATGCGGCGCGCATCACGTCGCCTTTGCCGTGTCGTCGTTGTCGTCATTGTCGTCGTCGTTGTCGTCGTCGTCGTCGTCGTCGTTGCAGGAAATGAATTTTTTTCCACTTTACGCGGTCTCTCCTCAGGAGAAGCGCGCGTTTCGAACGATCGGATACGGCTGGATCGCGATACGCCTGGTGAATACGCGCCCGCCGCTTCTATCCGATGCATCGCGGATTTTATCGCGATCGATAATAATTGCGAGCGTGTGTATGTTGCGCCCAACTTCTATGACCTGGACTGGATTACCGTTACCGTCGTGACGGATGCGCAAAGTCTCTCGAAGATCGATTCGCTACATTGGAAAAGCGTGAAATATAATATCACGTAAGAAATAACCGCTTTATCCGATTCTTTTATGTATATATAAAATAATAATAATAATAATTGATTGCTAACTGTATTGCTAACTGTATAATACAATATTTTGGAAAGTGAAATGACAGAAAGAGGACAGGTAAAAGAGAGAAATATGTGCAAAAGATAGAACATTAGCAAAATTACGTTACGCCTGTTCAAACAAAGCATACTATACTAATATATATATATATATATATATATATATATATATATATATATATATATATTTATATATAAGTGCATTAAAGTTAAAATTAGAAGTCTATATCGTAGAAGTCTATATCAGGAATTGCAAGATTATATTTAAAAGAGACAAAATCTCTTTCACTATCTAAGTTTGGCCGGTAAGTAATACTTTTCTGTGATTTTCTTCTGGGTATATGATAAATTATAGGAACCATCTTTTTATCTTGAATATAACCAAACTTATCTAAATAAGGAAATGCTTCAGGCGGAATAAAACCAGTTTTTAGTATTTGTTCAATATATTTTTCATCCGGAAAAGTAATAGGAAAAATTAAACTATTTTCAATAATTCGTGAAGCATCTGCAACATAATTTCTTATAAGTTTGATTATAAAATTGTCAAATCTAGGTATACCGGCCAAATCGTATATTGTTTTGTTACTCAGGTATTTTTTATAATTGGATTGCGGAGATCTGTATTTTCCTAAACAAGCTCGAAACATCTTCTTTCAAAAATACTTTCAAAAATACTATAAAAATTCTTTCCATACGTGAAGCGCTAATATTGAACCATATTTGACAACCATAAGAAATTATTGGTCTAAATAAGTAATTGATAACAAATAAGTTTAACTTTACTATTTAAATATTTGGAATAAAATAATTTACCATAACTCATAAACATTTTTTTTGCTTTATCTAACTGAGTTTCTACATGCTTATGATATAGAATTCTTTCGTCCAAAAGTATACCTAAATATCGAACAGATGTTTTATGACTTATTATTTTATTCGATATATTGTTTTCTTTTATATGAAACTTTTTGTAATGTCGACTGATTTGAGACCTAGCATGTCTTATGGAGGGTCTAAAAAGTATGGTTTCACATTTATCGGTATTGACTTTAAGTTTCCAAGTGTGATAGAAATCGAAAATTTTATCTATCGCAAGTTGTAGTTCCGACTGTACAGTTAAAGGATTTCTATTTGCATTACACTATGAGATCATCTGCGTAGGCTATTAATGAGCAATTAGTGTTATTCAAACCGAATAGTCTCAGAATATCACAAGTGTAAATGTTAAATAGAATCGGAGAATTTATAGTGCCTTGTTGTAAGCCATTGTTTATAAGAAATTCTTTGGAAGCAATTACATTATTGTGAAAAGTGTGAAAAGATCTATCTCTTATCATGTTCCAAATAAGTTTAATCAACGGAGATGGAAATTTTTCGTTTTCAATTTAAAGATAAGTCTCTCCTGCCATACTGTATCAAACGCTTTTTCGAGATCAACTAGACATGCCCCTAAGCAATTATTCCCGTTTAATGCCCAATGAATGTCCGAGGTAAGCTTATTGATAGCATGAATTGTAGAGTGGCGCAATCGAAAGCCAAATTGATTATCAGGAATAATATCATTTATTCGACAAAAGATATTTATAATATCATTAATTACCATTTCGTAGACTTTACCGATATTGGGCAACAAACTGATGGGCCTGTAGCTACAGGGAGATGTCCTATCTTTTCCTTTTTTTGGTATAGCAATCACTTTGGCTTTTTTCCAATTTTGTGGAAAGTACATATTGTTTAGCATATTGTTAAAAAGAATAGTGTAATAATATATAATTTTGTCCGGAATATGCTTGAGTACAAAATTGGAAATTTGATCTCTACCTGATGATTTTTTATTATTAAGTTTTTTAAACTTTTCTTAAGTAACAAAGAATTTGTAAAGAAATATGGAATTTCAATGTTATCTAGGGGAAAATCAGCGGTATTTAAATCATGGAAACGACAAATAGACTTATTATTGGTTTGATCATTCACGATTTCATTAATAATGGCCTTAGTATTATTTTCTATAATTTTATTTAGTTTTGGTTTTCCCAAACATTTATTTTGAATATTAGTTGATGCAAAATATGCTCCTAAAATATTTAGTTTCTGATGAATGTCATATATTACAAAGTTACCATCGGAATCCTTTACAACATTGTTAATATTAACGTTTGCATCTATAAGAATTTTTATGTTATTGCCGTTTAGCTTTAAAGGAGGAACTATAATTTCGTCGTTTTTTCTAAATAATCTATTAATTTCCGGAAACATGTCATTAGACTTTGTATGTGAAATATTGCGAATTCTATTGTCCCAATATTCGTTCATCGAACCAGTAATTTCGTCTTTTATTTTGTCTTTTAACTTTTTTAAAATATTTTTAAGTCTGCAAGATTCATCAATTGAGAAATTATGTTTTTATTTAACCTATGCAAGCAAGACAAGATATAACTTTTCTTTTTTTGCAATTTCTTAATCCTCGGATTCAAATACTTATCTACAGAATTTTGTGATTTAATTTTAGGGATGGACTTATTCATTGCACTTTTAATTACGGATTCCGTCTTAACAAGAAAACTATCGATTTCAGAATTTATCAAATTTCGATTATTAGGGATTTCTAATTTGACATTATTTAGAATTTTTTGAAATTTTTTCCAATTAGCTCTATTGTAATTAAGATTCGAATTTGCATTTGTATTAACAAGATCGTATTGTATATATATACAAGATTGTATTAACAAGAATTTCGCCGTCGTCTATTGATACATTAAAGATTAACGCTTTGTGGTCACTATCAAAAGGAAGTGTAGTTAATTTGCTGGGATTTTTCTCGCTAATAAAGATTCTCGCATCAGTAAGAACTAGATCGATGAACGAATGACCTCTAGGATAAGAAGGAGAATCAGAGCTATACAAATTTATTTTGTAATGAATAACATTATTGTCTAGCCAATTTTTAAATTTAATATCGCGCTCATTATTATTAATGTTAGCCCAATCGGTATGCTTGGCGTTAAAATCACCTGCAATAATAAAATAGTGCGAAGGATTACCCAGATCTAAATGCTCAAATAATTGATTCAATTCTGATAAAAATTCATTCTGATTTCCTTTTCTTGCATAAACTGAAATAACAACA